TTTTTTTTTTGGCGTGCATATAAAAAGTGGAGTACAACTTGTTCTCATGCATTATGTAATGCTATACTATGGAGTGGCGTGGGGGGCTACTACCAGTTGCAGGGCTTCAGTTCTCATTCAACATATAGAGTTGATTCTGGGTCTGTTTCGTTTACGTTTTGGAGCACTGTTTCGGATCAGAAGAGCTAGCAGGCCGTCTTTCCAGGTGAAAAGTGACTGAACGTGTTATGGGAGCAGCTCAGATGCAAAATTCTGTTCACGTCCGTCTGCCAAGGAGTTTTTCAGAAAGTGAGAGAGGAAGAATGAGAGCGACAAGGTGGTGGCAGATAAAAGCATTCTTAATTCTTCACTGAGCAACAAAAAAACAAGGATTCTTCTACTTTTCCTGCAGAAATCTGTTAATATGAGTGCCTAAAAACTAGACGGTGTCGGTAAATGTTCAATGTGTATGCGTGTGTGAGTGTCTGTCTGATGTGTGTCTGCGTTTGTAAGAGAGAGAGCAACAGGGAGGCATGACTGCTTTTGGGAGCTTAAGACAGATTTTGAGCCGTTGTTTGCTCTCTTTTTCTGTAAGTTTTCAGAGCAAAAGATTTGGGTTTAAGTCATTCAGATAATTTTACTTTTGATGTTTTTTTTGTTTTTTTTGTTTTTTTCTTTTCTTTTTTGTTTTACAGAAACACAAACCGAACTGAACACGCACCAGATGAGCACGTTTGTTTACATGCATTTTGGGCGATTAGAATAAATATTCGAGAGAAAAAAAGTGACCCTTTTTTGTGAAGTGTGCTTTACGCACGGATTTTGGGTGCAATCGGTGTTAATTTTCATAATGCAAAGTGGGAGAATATTATACGATTCACGTTTTAGTGAAGTAGTTTGGTCGAAACCATAAAAATATGTTCCTGGTGGAGCTGTTTTGGTTCATGTTTTGGCTGGTTTGTGGTTAGTTCGCTGCTTCGACGATTCGTAGCCTGATTCGTTTCCACACGTTGCCACTTCGTTTTCGCAAACAAACTGTTCTGTATTTAAGCTATTATAATCTGTTCATTATTCTTTGTAGGGAAGTATTTTCATCACTGGTGGTTATAAATGTCCATTGAAACGCTCAAATCTCGAGTAAATTCCTGTTTAATTGTCAATGATGATCTGAAACCATTGTGTTACGCCTCATTTCCATATTTAAATTCTGACTCTTGTTTTGCGTCCGTTGATTCTTATTTAATATGCAAGATTTTGAACCCTGACTGTACTAAAATAACTTTTATCGAGCTACTGATGCTAATATTATAAGATAATATGGACAATTCTCTACACTGCAGCGTATTGGGTACGAAATAGAACTTTCTACTACACATTTTGGGAAATAGTCAAATTTCGTACTGATCATATACATATCTCGACTTTTTGGAGCTTTTATGGACAAAACTAGAAAAGCACAACATGGCAAATGGGCGAAAAAAAAATATAAGCACTCAATTATTATGACAATTATTTGACCAATTATTTTTTTTCTGACAACTGCTTGTGTTTCTGAAACCCCTCCACCTCCCGCTCCCCAACTCCTCCACCCCACTCAGGGCCAAGATCTCGCAAACCAAAGAAGAAATCGACCAGCAAAGAGGACAAGCGACCACGGACGGCCTTCACAGCAGAGCAGCTGCAGAGACTAAAGTCGGAGTTCCAGACCAACCGGTACCTGACGGAGCAGAGGCGGCAGAATCTGGCGCAGGAGCTGGGTCTGAACGAATCCCAGATCAAGATCTGGTTCCAGAACAAAAGGGCCAAGATCAAGAAGGCCAGCGGCACCAAGAACAGTCTGGCCTTGCACCTGATGGCGCAGGGACTCTACAATCACGCCACCGTCACGTCGAAAGACGAGAAATCAGACAGCGATTGATTCCCAGAGAAGTAAACAGCAGCCTCCTGACGAAAAAGAACCTATAGTAATCCTATGATAGATTTATATAGAGATTAAAACTCTACTTACAGGAATATTTAATGTTACCACTGCAGATACTTTAACTATCACTCACCATGGATGTACACAATGGCTCCAAGAAACCATAACAAATGAATAGATTCCCTACACGAATTTCTAACCCAACCATAGGCCTCTATAGGTTCCTATGGGAATATTATAGTGATTTTTTCGTTATATGGGAGGTATAATCAAGCCTACAATGCAATAATATGATCGAATAAAGGGCCAGTGTATAGCCTTTACCAGCATAAATTGTTTAAAAAAAACAGAGAGATATTTCTGCAATATCACGTCTATAAAAGATGTATAAAGGTACGTTTCCATTGTTTTTGTCGTCCCCGCCCCCTTCCCGGGGCTACAAATGCTTACACTCTCCATTTTTATAAGCCGTATAAGGATTACTGCTATCCATGATTGTCATCGTGTTACATTTTAACTAACTGGCACTTGACGTTTTTACTTGTCAGTAAAGTGGGAAATTAATAAAAAGAAAAAGAAAAAAAAAGAAAAACTGAAGTCCAAAGAATATTTTTCTGCTGCATCCAGGCTACTGTGAATTTAAATATGCTAACAAGGTTTTTCTAATGCCATGCTCGCTTGGTTTTCTTGGTTGTTTTCTGCGTGCAAAGTGGACAGCGAAATTTGTTAGGGCTAATTGGGCACTGCATTATTATTTTTTTAAAATTATTTATTTAATTTTGTCCCCCAAGCGTTGTTGTTGTAATGCAGTTTGTTGGAAGTGACCAGTGGCGTTTCTTGCAGGAATGGCACCCTGGGAGAAGTTGTCCTTTGGCCACCCAATGCATGTAAAAAAAAAAAAAAAAAAAAAAAAAAAAAAAAAACCCAAAAACCTTTTTTACAGAAAATTTTTTTTTTAAAAAATTTAAAAAAATAAAAAAAAAAA